AAAAAAAAAAAAAAAAAAAAAATTCTTCATCAAAACTTCATTTTAATAAAACTGTAGCCACCCTACAAGAGTTTTTGTTGTTATTTTTCAAATTTTCTGTTCTTTTTGCATATTTTTATCACCCACAGGTTTCTTATGTAAAACTGAATTTCTAGATCTTTGTAATCACTAGTTTACATTCCCATTTGATATTTCCCTGTTTACATCCACTTTATTACGCTAAAGCTTCATTCCTGTTAACTCTTGATTCTTGGTGCCCCCCTTCCCCCCACCCCAAAAAAAAAAAGAAAGAATTTTGACGAGGCCCACAATAGGGTTGGGTGGGCTTCGTCTTCGCCAATAAAACCCATAAATTTTCTTGAGATTTGGGAAAATGCCTTTTCCTCTTTTTAAATGGAGGTGAAGAAGATAGAAAAAATACTCCAGATTTTAGTTTTTTTACATGTATTTACTATATTTGTTGCTTCTCCAATATAGGTGGACTAACTTTTTGAATTACCCCCTTCATTAATTATTGTTGTCATGTATATATATGCCTAACTGGAGTACAGCCTCAGTTGTCAAATGCTTTTCTTCTTGATCACTTGTTCTCTCTCCTTCATCCTCTTTTACAAGTCTCTTTCCCTCAAACCACTCGCATCCTCGGCTTCTGAAATGAGATTGCTCTCTATCTGGTTCTGGAAAGATTTTTCACTTTTCCCCATCGCCGAATCCATAAGAAACACCCTGTTAGGTGTAGTTCACAAATTGTTTTCTCCAATAATGTCACCCAAGAAGAACAAGAATTTTTATAGCAAGGTGGAGAATCTTGAAATTACATCAGATATGTCTGTGTTAGATTTACCTGACCTTGTATTGGAATGCATTCTTGAGAAGCTTCCAACAGAGGGGCTTTGTAGAATGGCTAGTGTTTGTAGTTCTTTGAGAGAGAGGTGCATAAGTGATCATCTATGGGAAAAACATATGAAAAACAAATGGGGTAGGATTATTAGCACTGCTGCACATAGGGAATGGCAGTGGCATATTGCTTCAAGAAAAGGTTCAATCTTTTCTAATCAAGGCAAACAGAGGAGCCTAATGGGCTATCTCACTCTCTTATGGCCTATTTCGCTGATTAGATCTAGTTTTGGTAATATTATCAAGAAGGATTTTCCTCCAGCTGATTCAATCATGTCTTGGTATCTTGCTCTTGAGTCTGGCAACTTTTGGTTCCCTGCACAAGTTTATAATCGTGAGGTATTGATCTTTATATCGACTTGAATTTCCCCTTTTCGGATTCTTTAACTTGATTTATTTATTATTATTATTTTTGTTTGCAAGTTGTGAATTTTGGTTGAATTGAAGTCTTGATTATGTTCTTCTATGCAGAATGGTCATGTTGGATTTGTGTTATCATGCTATGATGCCAAGCTCAGCTATGATCGATGGACCGACACTTTCCAGGCCAGGTAATTGGAAATATGTTATCTTCTAACCTCTAATTGAAACTTGAAACGTTTTTAGTGGACATGAATTGTGACGTTTTTACTTTTTTTTTTTTTTTTTTTTTTTTTTTTTTTTTTTTTTTTTTTTTTTTTTTTTTCTGTTTATAATTTTTATTTGCCGTTAAGTTTTTAGATCCAGGAAGTAATCTCATTTGAATTTTGACCAAGCAGCAATTCTTGATTAGTGTTTTATCAGTGGTTTAGGGTTTCATACATTCTTTCAGGTTAAAAAGTGTTTCTGTTGTTGTATTTTTAAAGTTTGTGTGGTTTTATATGAGCAGATATCCACCACATGGAAGAAGAGCAAGTGCAGTAGAGACTGGTGTGACATGGGATAGACTCAGGGCTCCCCCTGTAGATAACTCTCCCCATGATCTCCATATTTCTGATTGCTTGAACGAGTTGCGACCTGGTGATCATATCGAAATCCAATGGAGAAGAAACAAAGAATTTCCATATGGTATAATTCTTTATACCATACACATCAAAGGCATATACTTTTTAGTTTTTAATATCTTTTTTCTCAACATGTGAACCCCTTTTTGGGGTACACGTTGTTAAGCGTAAATTTTTGACCTCGTTCTCTTAATTTGATACGGTCGGCAGTTGCTTTAGAATTTAGGTTGTTGAGCTACGAGTGAGTCTTGCTAACAAACTTAATAAAATAAAGACTCCGTGTCGAAAACGATGACTTGCCATGGTGTCTTTGTTTTATTGATTGGTGATCAAGAAATTTTTGTCACGTGATAACGTGTAATTCCACGAAGTAGGCCTTAATTGACTTGTTTCAAGGAACCGCCGGTGGTATCATAATTTTTTGTATCAAACTTTGAAATATTATTTATAGTGCTTTGAGCATGCAGTCCTCATTTTTATTATAATGTTATCTCAAAATGGATGGTGACCGTCTTTCTTCTTAGGTAGAAAGTTTCGTCAACCAATGTAAAGGAAAGCTATATTTATATTAAACTTCCTCAATTGGATTGGCTGTTTTGAGATATATAAAAATCCTTGTGCATTGTATAATCAATTGATTAATAATGTCTGCCATATCTGTGTAGGATGGTGGTATGGTGTTGTAGGCCACTTGGAAACATGTGATGGGAATGCCAATTACTGCCCCTGCCATGATAGTGGTGAGTTGTTGCAAAATCTTTTGATCAAATGCTATAAAAATTTGCCGTTTCATACTGTAAATACATAGAGTTCAAAGTCGGAGACATAATCAAAACTTGAGATATATATAACACTGTGCAAAGGTGGGAAGTGGAGTGGCGTTGGTGGGGGATGATGAGGGGGCTTATTATTTTTGGGGACCTCGTATTTGATTCCTTTCATAAGGTGGTCGTTAGTTTTATCATCATATAAGCATTCATCTATTCTTGGTAGGACCTTTCTTGGCTCCCATTTTCTTACATGTGGGTCGTCCCTTGTACTATAAAATTGGTCCTTGAGACAAGTCCTCATCCGTTTGTCATATTCTCTTCCGACATTGCCATAATTGCTGTCTCAGTGGAATATTTATGGCCAACCAAGCTGAAAGGAACTTGCTTTATCTTTCCTCGTGTTTGGTTGTGGTGATGAAGCATTTCTTTTGTACTGTGGATAGTGTTTCTCTGAATCCTCATTTTTTATTTTTATTTTTTATTCAAGGGTAAAGTCACTAATCTACAAAGAAAAGTGGAGATTGTCATAAGATGAGATGAATTCACGATACCGCATCATAATTTACTTTTCCAAGTCAATTCTATGTTTTAAAGAAAACCCGTGATTAATTAATGAAGCTTATTCCTTAAGCACGATCCTGTGCTGTTTAGCTATCTGTAAATATTTAGAATTAGATATTTTACCTTTTCTCCAATTTATCGAATGTTCTAAGTTACTTTGCCAAAGTATGTGAAAGCTAAAATGGCCAAAAAGGAAGCATGGCTTGTGCTCCAAGTGGCAGGCGAGATCTGCTACCAATTGATAATATATATAATATAATATTTCCAGTTTGATCTAGTTTCATATTTACTATACTTGATTTAGCTGTTTAAGGCGCATTGATTTCATATCCGAACTTGTGCTGCAGAGACACTGGTGCTAGAGTTCAACCAGTACGCTCGTGGTTCACGCTGGAGAACGAAGTCTCTTAACAGGAAAGACCATCGAGAAGAAGGAAATGAGGCAGATGGATTTTATGGGGGAATTCGAAAACTTAAGAGCAACGAAGAGACTTCCGTATGGAAGAAACTCTGGCCAGCTGAAGTCTTGGAATAGATCACAAACTTTTGGTGAAAATTTGTATCGAAATCTGGAAATCTCGACATTTTAGTTTGCACAGCATTTTATAAGTGCAGAGGGCTCTGCTCATTGGCGCAACGTGATAATTTTTGCCCTCTGTCTTATCACGTATTCGGGAAATTTTACTTATGATTCGTGAAGCCATCGATAAGTTGATAGCAACTGTATGTAAATTGTTTCTGTTGAAATTTAAATAGAATATAACAAAACTACCATGACTTGTATATTTGTTCAGTAATATATTAGCAGAACTGAATTGGGAATACAGCCATTGTTTTCTCCCTCTCTTTTATTTGGGAAGGAGCGTTCTGTTGCAGTGATTTGAGAACTTACCAAAAATTATTTTTTGACTGAGTGACCACGTTATCGTAAAAAAATTGATGTAATTACTCAAAACTATTAGTGTAAAGCTTTGAGCAGAGGTCTTGGGAGACACTTAAACCAATATAGTATAATAATCTTGAAATTGAAACAAAAAAATTTTTCTTGCATCACAATGCAGGATGTTCAAACGTAAATTTTTAGTGCACTAAAGTGAAAACCATGATCTATATTTTGATGAAAACATTTTTATACTTAGTTTCCATAACCCAAACTAAGGATTAACGATGACTGGCTTCAGTTCATGCTCCTAGGACTCTGAGTTCCATATCCCATACAAAGTGCAATTGTTGGTTTCATTGGCGTCTCGTATTCTGCTATTGCCATTTTTGCATCACCAGAAATTGTTTCATTCTCGACACAACAAGGCCGACTACCATTTCCCTCGACTCTAAAGCTCGATCGCCTGAATTTCTTCGGTGTTGATGATTTACTTTTTCCTCTCCCAAATGATGCAAACCTCAGCAAAAGTCCTTTTACTTTGTGTACCTTATTTTTCACAACATTTTCTCCATGCGCACCTGTGGTTGAAATGAGCTTGTAGGACCCTTCCCGTTCCGTTTGAGCCGGTCTTACTCTTCCCCCGAAAAACAAACCCCTCGGGCTCTTGAGCCATTTCGGGCTTCGTTCCTCTTCTTTGGTCTGGTTTTGAACCCATCTAGCATAGGCCGAGCCCTTGGACTCCTTTGGCAAGTAATAGCTTGGTGTCGAAACTTGCATTGATGAGGTCATTGGACTACCTTCTTTATCTCGATCCCTTGGACTCAAGCATTCAGATTTAGGAGTCATGAATAGTGAATGCGACCTTGATCGCCTTTGATCATTTCCTCTCTTTTCCTCCCTCACCTTCTTCAAAGCCACCGTGAAAGGATCAAAATCATAATCCCATGCATTTTGTCTTGCGAACGGGATTCTGAACATTGTTCTTGGCGACCTAGGCGTCGAAGCAAACGATCTTTGGCTAACACTATGCGCGTCGCTATCATATTGCAGCCGGGGTGGGAGTTTTAGTGGCTTAACAAGGCCATTCAAGAAAAGTTCATCAGCAAATGCCATAGAAGGAAGAGAATCCCCGCGCTCGTGATATCTTTCCTTAATCAGATCATCTTGATTATGTCCCGATGCTTCAAATTTCTTTCTCGCTTCGAACTCCAAATATCCACTGAAATTCTTGCTAATTTCAAACTCGAAATCATCAAAATCGGAATTTTGATCATCATTTTTCTTGGAAGGAATCCATATTTTTCGCCTCGGACTAACAGGGGCACTATAATAGAATTCCATGCTGCTGCTTCCATTTGGACTAGTCGGAGCAGTCACGTAAACAGGGGAAGAAACATTTGAGGTTTCAAATTCTAACTCCATTTGGTGTCGAAACTCAAGAGGAGAGACAATCAAACAGTAGCAGAAAATAAGGATTGCTTTGTTTATTGTAAAATCATTTTGAGTCCTGAATTTAAGGATTTCCCAACTCACATGTATGACTTAAAAAAATCTTCAAAAGTAGAAAATACTTGTTCTTGTCCTGTCCTCAACTATTCAAAGATAAAAAGCATTATAAACTAAACTTTGTTTCCATTGGTGAAGACAAGAGATTTTTCAATTTGAATATTGCTCAATGTGGTCCGAATCATGGTTAGGATAGAAATTGGGATTGTAGTTCAATTTTGACTATATCTTTACACTTATTTTGGAATGTTGTTATCACAGAATTTTACACTTATCCTACTTCTTTGATCCTACGACTCTTACATGTTCCCCAAAATTACGAGTTGTGTAGAAGATCTTCAAAATCGAACCAATTCAACTCGATCTAAACCTCAATTTGCCACCACCTCATGCTGATTTTAGCATGCTAATATTTTCTATTGATACCTAATGTTATAAAAATTAAATATGACAGGTTGGTTTAATTGAAAAATGAGAATCGATTTAAATGTAGATCGAATTCAATCACATTCTTCTTTCAAGAACATAATTTTTTTTTTTTTTAGTTTATGTAAATTTTTTTAATCACGAATTAAACTTGAATATCTTTAACATATTAATATATGCCAATCAATATATAAGACATAGTAGCACCACACAATCTTGTAAAGTCGGTGCCTTAAACTATAACTCGTGTTTTTTATTTTGCACATAATGTTGTTTCTGGAGTTTGAAGTTACTCATTCGAAAACAATCCGACAGAATCACCTGAATGTAAAAATTTGATCAACAGGATCTAAACAGTAATTCGAGCCCACCGATTTCACGATGTTTCCTTAAAATGAATTTGCTGCCTGCAATGGTGCTAAAGGCGTCCAGCAATCGTTTCCCAGGATAGAACGAATTTTCGTCTCCTACGGAAGCAGCACTGCAATCTGCAGGAGTTCCAACGAACTCAACGAAGTGTGTTTTACTTCGAGACAATATTAGAACGAGAGAGAGGGAAATGAGATTCAAAGCACAGAAAGTTTGCAATGAAAATGGTATAAATTTTCTGGTAGAAAAGGCTGGCTATTTATAGACTTGTTCGTGGCCATTCGAACAGTCATCACCTTTCAGACAAGCCTCAAAAATTCGAACAGACATACTGTTCTTAAAAGTCGTGTTTGTTAAGTCGGTTAACGGTCGGCTGTTTGGTCGGTAAACAGTCGAAACAGTCGACTGTTAAAAGAAAATAAAACACCCGAAATAAGCCAAAATTTAAATTTCATATTGTACCCAAGAATTTGATTATTTACAATTTGGCCCAAAACTTTAAATAAATTTTGTCCAAAAAGTTAATATAGTGTAAAGGTCCACCCGTACCCGCACCGAACCGGATCGGACTCGGACTCGGACACAGGCACGTGCTCGTGCCGTGCCGTGCGAGCCGGCCGGCTGATCCGACGAACGGCGGCGGCGCGCGTATGAGTTTATGACTGAACCCAATAGGATATAGGTCTTTCCCCTTCCAAAGACTATTGGTACCCCTTGGGGCCCAAACCCAATTCCAAACTTCCACCTTATAAACCACACCAAAGTTTCGTAACTTTCCTATGTGGGATAAGTGTTTGGAAAATCAAATTCTTCCATAATCCTTAGTTTATATGGGTTACTTTAACACTTAATATTTCATTCAATTTTAAATAGTTTTCGATAAATAAATATATCACGTTAATTATCTCGCGGAGTAGAACGTGAATATGCTAGGTCCCGTATTAATTAAAAGGTGGGTCCCACTGAAATTTGGGCTCAAAGTTGACCCATTAACCATTTTTTCCAACAATCCCTCACATGAATGAAATATGTTGGCCTTATTCCAAACGATAACATCTAATATGTTTTTCAAAGAAAAATTTAAAGAAGACTGCATCGGGATAAGTAGTCAATGACTTTGAACTTTCCCTAATAAAATCTATCGGAATTCCTTAGCTATTCAGTAGAAGTTGCTTTGAACAGTCAGCCGTTTTAACATCCATTTGATGTATATCCAAACCATTCAATGCTGCTATTGCAATAAGTATACGTATGGATGTGATTCTTGTCACGGGAGAATAGGTATCGAAATAATCAAGCCCTTCTTTTTGCTTGTAGCATTTAGCGACAAGTCTTGCTTTATATTTGTCAATTGATCCATCTGCTTTCATTTTCCTTTTGAAAATCCATTTACATCCCAAAGGCTTATTACGGGGAGGGAGGTCTACTAATTCCCAAGTATGATTTTGTAGTATGGATTCAATTTCACTATAAACAGCTTCTTTCCAATATGAAATTTCGGTTGATGACATAGCCTCCTTAAAACTTTGAGGTTCATTTTCTAACAGATATGTTAGAAAATCAGGCCCAAAGGAGGTTGACGTCCTAGCCCTCTTACTTCGTCTAGGTTGTTCATTTATAGATTCTTGATCTACAGTCTCTTCGTTTTCACGAGATCTCTTTTGTGAATTTGATTCACCTTACATGTTATAAGGAAAAGTATTTTCGAAAAATGTAGCATCCCTTGATTCAATAATTGTATTAACATGCATATCAGGTATTTCAGACTTATATACCATAAATCTGTACGCATTACTATGGTAGGCATAACCAATGAATACACAATCAATGATTTTAGGTCCTATCTTAACCCTTTTAGGTTTAGGAACTACTACCTTAGCCAAACATCTCCATACCTTCAAGTATTTATAATTAGGTTTGTGACATTTCCATACTTCATAAGATATCTTTTGCATTTTTTGATGTGGTAATTTGTTAAGAATATAGTTGGCAGAAAGCAAGGCTTCCCCCCACAAGTTCTGTGGTAATCCAGAACTTATGAACATAGCATTCATCATCTCCTTCAATGTTCCATTCTTGCGTTCAGCAATACCATTAGATTGAGGAAAATAAGGCATTGTAGTTTGATAAATAATTCCGTGTTCCAAACAGAATTTCTCAAATGGTGAATCATATTCACCACCTTTATCACTTCTTATGGCCTTAATCTTTTTGCTAAGTTGATTTTCAACTTCTAACATGTAGTGTTTAAACACTACAATTGTTTCGTCTTTGCTTTTGAGCAAATACACATAGGAATATCGAGTACAATCATCGATAAAAGTGATAAAGTACTTATTACCTCCTCTAGTTTGAACAAATTTTAAATCACATATGTCGGTGTGAATTAAATCTAGGGGTTCGATATTTCTTTCAACAGAACGAAAGGGTAGACGTGACATTTTGGCTTCTATACATATATCGCATTTGTGATTAGGATTTAAATCACACTTTGGTAATAAATCAGATTTGATTAGTCTACACAAAGTGTTATAACTTGTATGTCCTAATCGTTCATGTCAAATATTAAATAACTCAAGCAAGTAAGAAGAAGATTTATTCTTATTCATAATTGGAGGTATAACAGTCATTACATTTAATTTAAAGAGCCTCTCATTCAGGTAGCCTTTTCCTACAAACATTTCATTCTTTGAGAGTACAAATTTGTCCGAGACAAATACTAGCTTAAAGCCGTTCTTACTTAGTAGAGAACCAGATACCAAGTTTTTCCTAATATCAGGCACACGAAGAACATCATTCAGAGTGAGCTCTTTTCCACTTGTCATTTTCAGCACTATCTTCCCATGTCCTTCTACCTTGGAAGATGACGAGTTTCCCATGTAGAGATGTTCATCATGATCCATTGCTTTGTAGGTAGAGAACATCCCACGGTTTGAGCATATGTGACGAGTAGCTCCAGTCTCTACCCACCACTCCTCAGTGTTTCCAATTAAGTTGCATTCAGAGACGACCGCAGAAAGATTCATGTCTTGTACCTTATTAGTGAGGTTCTCATGTTTTGTTACATTGGCCTGGTTAGTTTTTCCCTTCACATTTTTTGGCTTTCGACAATCTTTGGATTGATGTCCTACCTTGCCACAATTGTAACAGTTGCCCTTAAATTTTTTAGCAGTTTTTGAAGAACCAATTTGTCCTTCCCCATTGTGCTTCCTCTTTTTGCTTGTCTTGAAGCCTCCTTCTACAATGTTGGCTTTTGATTCCATCGAATTAGATGCACCATTCCTTTTTTCAGTTTTGCGATTGTCTTCTTCTATTCTCAATCGGACAATGATATCTTCAAGTTTCATTTCCTTCCGCTTGTGCTTTAGGTAATTCTTGAAATCCTTCCATGAAGGTGGTAATTTCTCAATTAGTGCAGCGACTTGAAATGATTCACTTAGTTTCATTCCTTCGGCATGGATGTTGCTAAGTATGATCTGAAGTTCTTGAACTTGGGATATGACAGTCTTGTTGTCAACCATTTTATAATCCAAAAAACGACCGACAATGAATTTCTTCGTGTCGGCATCTTCGATTTTGTACTTTGTGTCCAAAGATTCCCACAATTCTTTTGCGGACTTAGCATTGCAGTACACATTATATAATGTGTTATCCAGTCCATTAAGTACATAATTTCTGCATAAGAAATCAGAATGTTTCCATGAATCAACCGCAGCCAATTTTTCAGCATCACTGTCTTGCTCGGTATATGAAGGCGCGTTTTCTTTGAGAAATTTAGCCAGATTTAATGTCGTCAGATAAAAAAGCATTTTTTGTTGCTAATGCTTGAAATCTGACCCATTAAACTTTTCTGATTTTTCCCCGGTCGTATTCGGGAGTGTGGTACCAGAAGTTGCCATTTTTGAAACACAATCAGAAGATCAACGGTAAGAAGGAGTAGAAACAGAAACAAAATAATAATAGAACAAAATTCATTTTAAGATTGTTGTTTTTGGAGTTTGAAGTTACTCCTTCGAAAACAATCCAATAGAATCACCTGAATGTAAGAATTTGATCAACAGGATCTAAACAGTAATTCGAGCCCACCGATTTCACGATATTTCCTTAAAACGAATTTGCTGCCTTCAATGGTGCTAAAGGCGTCCATCAATCGTTTCCTAGGATAGAACGAATTTTCGTCTCCTACGGAAACAGCACTGCAATCTACAGGAGTTCCAACGAACTCAACGAAGTGTGTTTTACTTCGAGACAATATCAGAACAAGAGAGAGGGAAATGAGATTCAAAGCACAGAAAGTTTGCAATGAAAATGGTGTAAATTTTCTGATAGAAAGACTGGCTATTTATAGATTTGTTCGTGACCATTTGAACAGTCATCACCTTTCAGACAAGCCTCAAAAATTCGAACAGACATGCTGTTCTTAAAAGTCGTGTCTGTTAAGTCGGCCAACAGTCGACTGTTTGGTCGGTAAACAGTCAACTGTTAAAAGAAAATAAAACACCCGAAATAACCCAAAATTTAAATTTCATATTGTACCCAACAATTTGATTATTTCCACTTGCACCTGCACCGAACCGGACTCGGGCACGTGCCGTGCCGTGCTGGCCGGACGGACGGCGGCGTGCGCGTGTGGGTTTATGACCGAACCCAATATGATATAGGTCTTCCCCCTTCCAAAGACTATTGGTACCCCTTGGGGCCCAAACCCAATTCCAAACTTCCACCTTATAAATTACACCAAAGTTTCCTAACCTTCCTATGTGGGATAAGTGTTTGGAAAATCAACTTCTTCCATAATCCTTAGTTTATGTGGGTTACTTTAACACTTAATGTTTCATTCAATTTTAAATGATTTTCGATAAATAAATATATCACGTTAATCATCTCGCGGAGTAGAACGTGAATATGCTAGGTCCCGTATTAATTAAAAGGTGGGTCCCACTAAAATTTGGACTCAAAGTTGACCCATTAACCATTTTTTCCAGCACATTTTATATGCCAATTACCGTTGTTTGATACTTAGGTTTGTAGTTTTCACTTTTCAGATCATATGCCTATTTTAAGCAAGATTACCCCTATCTTTTTTTAAGTTTTACTTGCTTATTTTTGTAAACAAAAACAAATACAAGTATAACAAAGTCCACATGCTACATGAGCATGTTTGGAAAGTGTTGAAAACAATTTTGTTTATAAATAAATAGAAATAAGTGATGAATAGATATGTAATAATTGTGGGTCTCACTAAAATTTGTACATAAAAAGTGATTTGAATATTTATAAACATGAAAAGTGACGAAGGGAAGTGAAGTCAACGACCGGTGAGATTTGGCTCCAACTGAAATTCTTTAAATGATTTTTTTTTTTTGCCTTTTATTTTTAACCATTGTTTGATCCCCATTTTGGGGAATAATGCATTTTGAATAAATGATTGATTGAGAATGTGTGGTTAAAAATTAAAGAAAATTTTTAGATTTGCGTGCAATATTATTTTATTAAAGAATATGTAGTTAAAAATGAGTTTTGAAACAATGAATTTTTAAAAGAACGAGAATCAAATAAAGGCTTAGCGTCTGTTCGGTAGTGATTATGATAATTGATTTTTTGACGGTTAGAGAGAAAAGTGAGTCTCACCTGTGAGTAAAAGATAAAAAATGATGACTGACTTAGAAAGTAACGATAAAAAAATTGATTTTTTTGGGTAAAAAATCAGAACCTAACGGGCTTAATGTTATTATGTATTTTGTGTTTGAAATTTTTTTAGCTAATCTTCACTGTATCCGAATCCTGGCTATCACTGAACACGAGGTAAACATAAAGTCACATGATATTTTTATTTAAAATATATTAAATTATTGAAATTTGAATTCCTTAAGTTCCAATTGGACCGTGAGAATAAGGCACCGTCTGATCTCAAACCCGTGGCCGTTGAAGATCATGGAGTCTGATTACTTATGATATTAACAAACTTAAAATGAATTAAAATCATTTGCCAGCTTATAATTCGGTTATGATCGGAGGCACTAATTGGGTGTTTGGTAAGGATTAAAATTAGATTTTTTAGTAGATTGTGATAGAAGTTTTTGAAATGTGTGTTTGAAAAATTGTGAGACCCATAAAATGTGTGATTAATATTGATTTGTTTGACTTTGACTTAAATTAAAATTAGATTTTAATCGAAATCAAACAAATTGTTAGTCACTTAGACATTCCAATCTCCGACCCGGTTGTTGTGATGCAGATACTTGTCAAGTCCTTTGGTTTGGGTAGACTTGGACCTTTTTGGAGCCGTGCTCATTCTATTTAGTGCTTGTTTTATAAAACTTAAATATTAATTTAAAATAGTCAAACATACTTTGTCTAAATTTAACTTAAACTTTTTATTTCTCATACTCATTTTCAATCATACATTTGTACACATAATAAAATATATTTCATGTAAGTTAAAAACTTTTTCATACTTCTTAACAAAACATTCTCAAAAGACGGAAAAAAATTATTATGCAAAACATCATTTTTTTCCGAATTTTTCTTTATAATGGATATCAAACAGGGACTTAATTAGAAATTTAATGAACGTTAGTGTAATATTCCCACATTTTTTGAAGTTTGAAATTTCTTTGTTGCATCGATAATGACCTTCTCAATTAGTTGACATTGTTTCATTATAATTATACCTTAAATTTCCTGAGCTGTACCTTCACTCGAATGTAGTCCCGTCTCTAATTGTTAAAGGTTAGTTGTTTCATTTCGACATAACCATATGTCTATCATCTAAGTTTCGAACGTGCATAACTCATATATATATACATGGTACCAAACCTGTCATTGATATCACCGATCATGTCATAAGTCTGATTTGAACTCGTGAGCCGAACTTATGTGGGAGCCCTTTTCGAGTACAGTGGAAGTCGCCAACTTAGTTGACAAGCCCTAATGGGAAAGTGACAATCAGTGCGCAACACAAATTTAACGTGTGAACGAAGTTTTGTAGACTTTTGAAATCTCTGGTTTGTTAAAGATGCATAAAAGTAACTGCATGCTGAAATGTCAAGTGGTGAAATGGATATAAGCCTAAAATGATTGAAAAACGACAATTCCGTCAAAGCAATGAAGGAAGTGGAAACCTAAAGATTATTTAAATTAAATCAATTAATGAAGTGAATTTTCATTAAAATTGCATTTCTTTAGAGATTTAAATTCGTATTTAATTTCAAAAGAACGCAATAAGCTTCGAAAAGATTGAAGGGGCGTTTTCTTCTATTCCTTTTACCCACATTTTCATATAATTTGTTCCCAAATTACAAGCATCACACGGCATTGCAATAATTGAATTCAAAAAATTGCTCAAAATCGATCCTCTCATAGCAGATGTCAAGATGAATTTTCTCGTTAGCAGATGAACTATTATTGACATTGTAGAATTTATTCAATGTTTTGCGATGTTTAATATATATTCAATCGTTCAAGTTTAATATTATATCATTTTAGAAGAAAATGTTCTCCCATTCTCTTCGAAACATGTTGTTACTTGAAAAGACCATTTAAATAACATGGTGTGATAATATCAAGTGCTAGTCATGCCATTTCTATGTAGGCACTTTGTTTGACACGTGCATTGTTTCCTTAATTTTGATGGACAAAAATTGATTAATATATGGGTGAAATATAAGTTCATCTAAGATTTCTATACGAATTTGGGTTTATGTATGACTTTAATACATGGTAAAATTCATGTACCATTCATGTAACTTATCTGTGTCTACATTGTCATTGCCACATAGGCACTCTCCTTGTTATGTGAATTATTTCATTAGTTTTGACTGATGTAAGTTAATCCATGTGTAGGTGGGATACAAATTTGTTAATTCATATATGATTATGATGTAATGCTTCTTCATATATGATTTTGGTAAAGTTCATGTACTTTTTGTGCATTAAACATATATTCAAATTACATTTTAGATTCACAATAAATTTCATTTTTATTTATTTATAATTTAAACAATTTATAAAAACTTAGCTATCAACTCATCGTCTTGTTTTAAAGATTGTGTAATGTGCCTCACTATTGTGCAAAAAAATTGGCTAAGCTTAAATTATTAATTTTAAGTATACAAGCAAGTTTTAAAATGAATAGTTTTTTAACTTATTAAAATGTAGAATAAGTAAATTATTTATTGATTGTAAAGAATAAAATATTTTCCTAATATCTAAAAATAAGTAAATTATTTATTTAAATGGTAAGGAATCTTTTATTTCAATCCTCATGTGGCTTATTAAAAACGGAAATGAAACTAGATGGCATCGTATCATCCCAAATTCCACTCAATGACACAATTAAGAATTTCAAAATCAAAACGAAAGATGTGTTTGATTGTAAGTATAGAATTTATATGAAAAAAAATAAATTCTGTCAATTGCTTGGAATTTATTTTTATGGAAATTAGTAATTAAATATGTTCAATTGATTTAGTTTTCAACCTAAATTTTTTTAGGGAAAATTGCAGCAACGATCCTTAACTTTTTCATTTTTTTTTTTGCAGATTTTATCATAATCTTCATTTTGTGCCAGCGAAAGTCTCTAACATTTCATAAATATGCACTTGAAATCCATCTAGACGGAAACCGTCCAAATCACAGACAGTCAATTAGGAAAATTCCTTGAATTATCTGCTATCTTGACAGTTTTATTGGATGTTAATAACTTTTTGGACGATTTTATTGAATGTTAATTCCTTAATTTTTCTAGTCAACTAATGGTACTTTGGACGATTTTCGTCCAGATAGACCTCAGGTATATGCTTATGAAAGGTTAAGAACTTTCGCTGACACAAAATGAAAGTTACGCTAAAGTTTGCAAAAAATGAAAATATTAGTAATCGTAATTTTTCAAAAATTTTATATTTATCCATTTTTATTGATAGATAGATGACAGAGAGTGAATAAATAAGAGAGGAAGAGAAAATAAATTATTTGAAAAATAAAAATCACCCCAACTTTAAAAAATATTTCCACCAAAAAAATTATCAATCAAATATCCTAAAATAGGAATTTGAATGAAAAAACGAAAAATAAAACCAATTTGGAGATTTTTCCAAGGAAAAACTGTCGTATATTTCTATCAATGGCAAGATTTTTTTCTATAACTTCTCACCCATCTCTAAATTATTCATATTATTTGCAAACCAACTTTCCATTGCTCATTTTTAATAGTGAATCGTATTGCAGTTGCCTTTTTCTGAGCTGAAGGATCAATCACGCGCATAAAAATATACAGAGATGAGAGATACTCCAAGGTAACTCTGTTTTTTAAACTCTCTCAGTGTATTTGTTGAGATGGGATTGTCTAATGAAGATCAAAACCAAGATGAGCACTTAATTTATCTGATCATTTTTGGGATTTTTTTTTATAAATTGGTGTAGAGCTAAGAAAGCTTGTATTACTTATGATTTTGGATGTATTTCAGTTTCTAAGTAAAGATTCCAGCTTTATTACTTCTTAAATAAACAAATTAATCTTTATGGATTGCTAGCAATATCTAGTTTTAAATTTTTGTTTAGATGTAGGCATACCGCATATAGCTGTTTACTTCATACAGAGACAGAGGGCAGACGTGAATATATATTCGATGTAGGAAATCTGTGAGCGAAGAGCCCACGTTCGTTAGTAGAATATCAACAGCTTCATTCTTGTAGTGACTCAAGGAGTTGTGCTATGTATTTGAATATGGTCTTGGCATGCAGCAACCGTAGACTAACATCCAGAATATCTGAAACTTATGTAATGGCAAATGGTGTAAAATATTTTCTGTTGAAAGGTTTTTTATTTTAAAAATCGTCAATTAAAAAGAATTTTAAGAGACGTCATTAGAAATGACCATTGAATATGGAAGTTTCTCTCTCGGATTTTGATGCTGTTCGCCATAAGTGATATGTAGGAGTTTCATTACCTATGCGGTTTATTTATCTTCTTGTAGTTGTGATGTTTCTAATGAATTATTGTAATTAAATTTCTTTGTTTTGTGACATGTATTCATGAATAAAACTAAATATAATATACTTGCATACCAAGTCCAACTTTAAAACTACCAATTTCTAGTCTGCAATCCACATCTGAAAATGACATCGTTAATTTTCTACCTTATTGTAGAGCATTATCTAGAGGTGCTTTACAAATTCGACTGATCCTGGTTTAGAGATAAATATGACAGAGGACATAAGTAAGGGTTCGCAAAGTGGTGAAAGAAGCTTCAAAAGTCATCAATTAAATGGCTTGCCTGATCAGGTCTCTAGTCCAGTCAGAAGAGAAGTAGTCAGTAGGTATTCTTCTTTTGCTGTCTTCATAACGATGGATTTTTCAATTTGCTTTTCATGGAGTCCATTTTATGTTGATAGATTTGCACAAGGTTGCTACCACAGTGGTCACAGATTTGAGTATATCTAGATTGTAATCTTGCTGTTTGAATTTCCATTTCTTGGCAGTTGACGTCATTTAAAATTTCGCCCTATCTGTTTAGATTCAAAGGATTGATCATGCATACGCTAGCCAGCTATTGCTTATGCTAGAACCGAAAGCCATGTATTATAGTTCTGATATTTGTGATCTCCTAGTTGGGTATCAGAATTTGGCATTCTCTTTAATATGCCATTGATAAGTTATGTACCCACTAGCATAAGATTTTGCAATCCACCTTGTTCTCTGATCTTTATTTAATGTTCTACTACAATAGTTAATGGACTTAGTGCTATAGTTACTATGTTTTCCAAGAAGGAAGTTTTTTTATCTTTTATACAGAGGACAACCACGATAGCTTATGTAATTGCCACTCCACTATTTTTATCAGGAAGTGAGAATCTGATTTGATCAATAAGACCTAATTTGGAGCATTTTTCAAGAATGACTATTCTGTTTCTTTCATATGCTTTTATGGGCCTTTTTGCTGGAGCATGTCTATTTTCCATTACTTCATGTTTCTGTCTTTCTATTCAGGAAACACTGTTTAAATTGTGCAAATAAAAAAGAAAAGACAGAATGGTGTTGTCTGAATTACGAAATTAGATCTTATATTCTAGGAAACAAGGTAAGAAGATCCTATACATCTTTCCACTATATTTCAAAATGTGTAAGGAAAGGGAAAAATATATATGTCCAGCCATTGCAGACCTTTTTAATCACCACCATGATCCACCACCTTTGGGCGAACCTTCTCTTGCATTGTACCACATCCTAATGATCCAGTTAATGTAAGATTGTAAACTAGACGGGATACAAAACTCCTTCCTTTAATTTTTTGAATTATTTCCTTTCGAAGTCCTGGTGCCTTATTGGAACTCCTTTCAAATTCTTTTGATCACCCCCCAAAACTCCTCCAGAGTATGCCCTAATGCCTCAATCAAATCAAACTCCAATGTTTTATTTCAAATACCACCCTTTTTCAAACTGCGATCCCAATAAAAAACCTAAGCCAAGAAGACTCTCATCCGTTGCAACTTGTCATTCCAAAAAATTCCCAGCAGCTCATTATCATTCTTTTAATACAATTCAAAAAAAAATCAGCGAAAAGATGTGATGACCTGTAACCGAAGATGGTGATTTGAGTGATAGGATTTCCGCTATAAGTTGAGTATCTTGGCCGACTGATCAAGTATGTGGCTGATGGGGATTAACACCTAGTAAGATTATATCTGAGGCTACATGGTTGACTTGAGTGCGTCAAAAAATTTATCCCCAATGAAAGGTGTTTTCAATTTTGTCCAAATGCGTTCCTTGTTTGCTAACACATTTTCCTCATACGGGCCCACCATTTCGAGAGCATAAATCATGTTCTCAAATACACCAAAAATCATAAAAGGAAGACAGAGGAATTGGAACGGCTCCAAAATGGACCCTAAATGCTCTTCCCTCTGTTAGTAAAATCTTTCTTAAGAAATGCAAATGTCAGAGAGCACGATGTTAAGGAAATGATTTGGAGCCCCAAATTACTCTTGTCTTGGTTAATAAGATATTTTTAACCAAGAAAATGATTACTGCCTCTATATTAACACCAAACAAAATGATTTTAGAGACTGAATAGGTAAGAAAACGAATTCAGAAAGTGAAGATATCTTACTTTATGGCTCAAGAGCTTTTCAGGTTAAGTATATTAAAACTTCAAGGTCTTAATTCTCGTGAAATGACTGAACTGCTAGAAATCGATTAACTTGCATAAGCCTTCTGACTGTCCTTTTTCTTCCAACTGTTCAAGAAAGATTATTGACTGTGGAATTCTTCACTTTTTGAAGTAAATGATTGGGCTATGTAAGCTGCGTACGCTGAATTAATGTCATATCTAACTTTGAGATTTTTCCTTTTAAACCAATTGCAATGCAAATGGGGTGTTGATTACTTGATATCATTTCTTGTGATGATAATATTTTCTAATTCTTACTACTCTACTTGCTTTCAGATCGGCTCTTGTAATGAGCACTCCAAACAATTATGATGAGATTGATGTGGAGAGTGGAAAATGTGAGGAGGGTAGAGAAAAACCAGTGCATAGTAGTAAAAGAGTACTTAGAATACACAACCAGGCCTTGTTGGCTGGCCTTGCATATTGTTTTTCTTCCTGTAGCATGATATTGGTTAACAAGTACGTCCTCTCCAGTTATAACTTCAATGCCGGAATATCTTTGATGCTATTCCAGGTTACCTTCCGTATAAGATTCTCTTTTGATACTACAAGAAAATTAGTCTTTATTGTCTTGTACTACTTTTACTCATAGTCAAATTGATTCTAATAAATTTGTATGCTTTGTATGCTAACAATACTGTTGATGGGTGCAGAATTTTGTCTCAGTGATTATTGTTGTCACTTTGAGTTTCATTGGCATAATTACCATGGAACCGCTTACTTGGAGATTAATTAAGGTCTGGTTGCCTGTAAATGTTATATTTGTTGGTATGCTGATCACTAGTATGTTCAGGTACGAAATGTTTCTTATCTTGTTATTAAGATCACACTAAATTTCATCATCTTACTATGAAAAGTCGTGCTCTTATGATACTGAAGATACAGATTTTTTTTCTGTATGCTTGTCTCTGATGTTAATTCTTCCTTTTTGTTTATTCATATTTGTGTACTGCAGTTTTGGGTTCCTTTACAACATGAGAAGTTTATTTGATACACGGCCATAAATGCACCATAATGAATGTAATATATTGTGATAGGTTAATTTCTGCTTATTTTGCACACATACTTAAGCTTTCTTAAGATTAGTATCTCATCTTAATTGTTCTGATATCTTATGTAGCTGCCAACTTTCTTTTCAAGCGTTATATTATTATTTATTATTTGCTTGCTTTTATTTTTAATGGATGAGAGTGTTACACTGAATAACAAACATGTATTTTACATAAGCATTCCACTCTGTGGATTTTCAATAGATATTAGAATTTTTGTTTAATATATGATTGGAAAGTTCATTTCCCTCGGTTGCTCTTGATTTGACTGGTTCATTTTTCCCTTTTCTTTGAAGGATACTTCAATTACTTTCTTTCTCATCCACAATGTTAAGGGATAAAATCTCATAACAAATAAAGATAAGAATATTGACTAACCAACCTATAAGGGTTTTGGCTACTCCTTTTGTTGGATTTTATGCGCAATAATAAAGAGATGAAAGAGAGAAATCAACACAAGTATTCAAGTGGTTCAGCGATGTGCTTACGTCCACAAGAAGTGAAGCAAAGATAATTTTATTCAGTATGAATAATAGGGTTACATCATTAGTATTTATGCTAGCTCTAGCCCAAGTCCATGCCCGTACAAGAAAATACCTCTATACCATACCCATTCAGTGTCCCCTAGCAAACAAATAGTGAATTCCACTCTATATGAGCCACATACGCAATATCCTCTTAATAAGATTGACTTTTTAAAATGGAATCCCAAGTTTTAATATGATATTAAAGCTTATTAAGCCCCTTTTAAAACTCTTCAATTTAATTTAGTTTTTTACTCTCCTACTTTTAACCACACAATCTTCAATAAAATAATATTACACTCAAATTGAAAACTTTTCAATCACACAATCTTAAAAAAAAAAAAAAACACTATTCCCCCTATTGTAAATTCAAATAATGGCAGCCAAACGGGGGCTAAGTTTTAACAAGTAATTCGATCCGATTAAGACTAAAAAAAAAAAAAGCAAAAGAATTTCAAAATTGGTCTGCTCAAAGGAGCCACCATGTTGCATGGTCATATTAAGGGATAAAATTCCACATCGAATAAAGATGAAAATATAGACCAACTTATAAGAGTTTTGGCTACTCGTCTTAATAGGATTGACATTTTAAAATGGAATCTCTAGTCTTAACACACAATAAGTCCGATTTGCAAAAACATTATTTGGAAGAGTTTGTTTCTTATCTGTATTAGAAGATAATTGATTAACTTGACTACCATATTATTTGTTAGGAATTTATATATTTACTGCATCTTTTCTTAACAACTCTCCTTTCAATTTGCTGGAAATATCAGGAATCTAGCCGACGTCGTCATAGTCTTCCATGTCATTAATGACATGACCTAGAACTTGATATGTCCAACCTTATGTATGTCTCAGATTCAATGAAATAGGTGTACCAAACATGAAACTATGTAATTTCTGATTTTGTTATTTGATTTATTGAAGTTCAATACATATTTGTCACTGTGCTGTTTTGATTGATTGTTATGCTAACTATATCTTATTTCTGAAGTTTGCATTTGGCACTTAATCCTTGAATTTGTCTCTTAATTGACTCCCTCCATGTTCATGTTCTTCTATCGAGGATTGAAATTTCAGAAGGATGTGGGTGGAAAATTTAGGAAATAATTAGAGATTAGATGGAAATAATGGAGTAGATGAATCGATAATAGAGACATCTAAAGGTATGGATATGCTGTGTCAGATTCTGCTGTTGATAGGTGCTTGTGCATCTCCCTTAAAAAGGGTGTATAGAATTAATTCTATTGTATTGATGCTGCTTCTCTTGAACTCATTTTGTTTAATCCAATTGTTTGCCTTGTTCCACCAAAATTTAGACTTACTGCAGTTTTGCAAGCAAAGGAAAGGTTCTATGGGTCGATGTTGAATTTTCGAAATATGTTTGACTGACATATCTGTATTCTTTGTTTGTAGTCTAAAGTACATTAATGTTGCCATGGTTACTGTTCTGAAGAATGTAACAAATGTGATGACTGCTATTGGTGAAATGTACTTATTCAACAAGCATCATGACAAAAGAGTTTGGGCAGCTCTTTTCTTAATGGTAAGTCAAGTGGCAGCTCTTCTCTTAATTTTGCTGGAGGTAATCACAACCCGTATGTGGACAAAACTGTTGTGGAACTGCTGATACGTATTGACTAGTTCACTCTATTTAGTCATGCTTTTAGTTAATCACAGCTAAATTTAAAAAGTTGAGTGCTAATTGATCAATGTTTATCCCTAATTAATCAATAAGCATGGTGAATTGTCTAATTAAAATAAGATCAATACTTAAATCGATCAGTGGTCGCGCACCAATTTTTCAGAATGTAATGTTAGCCATATCTAATAAGCTGCTTCGTTAAGAAGTCAAAAGCACGGTACTGGCTGGAATATATTTTTATATGTGGAGAAATGTAAAGATTGTTCATGATTATATTAGATTATAAGTTTGTGTAGGTCGACGTGCATTTGAAGTCTTGCTTTCACATTTACAGATCATTTCAGCAATATCTGGAGGAATTACAGATCTCTCTTTTCATGCCACTGGATACGCATGGCAATTGATCAATTGTTTTTTGACGGCGTCCTATTCAGTGAGTAATAGTCTTTCTTATGTCAAGTCTTAATTATATACTGAGCTGTATGATTTTTTTATACAAGGTGACCTAATTTGTTACTTGATGCGACAATAGAATATTGCTCCAATCTTTCTTGCTTGCATTCAAGTCAAGCCAACTCATGCTACATTTGAAGGGAGGAAGGGTTTAAAAACTCATAATAATTGAAATTAATTTAAAGGAGAAATGGGGGCAGTAGGAACAGAAAAAGCAAGAAGAAAAGAGAAGCTTTGGAATCACTTTAAGCAGTATGTAGAATTGTGGATTAATGCTCTTTTGAATCCATATTAATTGCCCTTTTCTTTTTGCTCTTTTGAAGATTGAAATTCTGTATGATATATGAAGTGAAGAGTTTGCTGCTGTTTCAGTTTCTTAGTCCGTGGAAGTGCATTGTCTAGACACATTTATTCTTATAATTTTTGGTTTTTTTTTTTTTTTTTTTTTTTTTTTAATTTTTTTTTTTTTTTTTTTTTTTTTTTTCAAATTTCAAGTGTTGAAGCACCACTGGATGCTGATTTTAGTTTCTTAAACTATTTTAGCTAATGGTCTTTTACAAATTATTAACTGTTCTCTTTAATTTATGGGCAATATTATTTGATATAATTATTGTCTTGTGGTGCAGTTGACTTTGCGTAGAGTCATGGATACTGCAAAGCAAGTCACTAAATCTGGAGATTTGAATGAGTTCTCAATGGTCCTGCTAAACAATACCCTTTCATTGCCCCTAGGAACATTGCTTATATTTTTATTCAATGAGGTTGATTATCTTTCAAGAACGTGAGTTATGGTTTCCTTGTAATTACGGTTATATGCTGATGCTTTGTCGCTACTTGATAATTTAGTCTTATTTGATGATATTCATTAGTTTAAAGATACAATTAGGAAAGTAGCAAGTTTTGAAGGTAAGCCGTATGTTGAAGTAAAATATTTTGGTACTCGTCATATGCTCAATCAGTTGTGGAAAGGGTTCATTAAAGCACTTTGATTACTTACTCTTCTCTTATTTCTCTCTTATTTCTAGTTAAAAAGAGACTTATTCTTCTGAAAGTGATTCTTACCTTACTTGTAACTTATTTATTGGAAAGAATTAAAAAATGCTAAAGAACCCCATTTTGAGTCTGGAACTTTTAAAACTTATGTACCTGTAAGTATACCATTTAAGCTTAGGCAAACATGCTCTGAATCTTGTGTTTCTTTGTTGCCAATGGCAGACCACTTTTGAGACTGCCCGCCTTCTGGCTGGTCATCACACTTAGTGGATTCTTGGGTTTGGCAATAAGCTTCACTTCCATGTGGTTTCTTCATCAAACTGGGGCTACTACATACAGGTGAGAGTTTTTTATTACCTGTTTCTCTGCCTTCAAGCTTTTAAATAGCTAAATTATTTTATCTAAATTTCTTTAGTACGAGAAAAATTGAAGACATACCCCACTAGAACTGTTTCTATATCTTCGTATCGGCACGCCTTCAGAATTTACATTTTATATACAGCATAAAGATCAGATTCTGCCATTTGTTTTATGAAATGAACATGGAAGATTCTAGGGTCCTTTCTCTTCCTCGAATACAGACATGTCCATTCCAATGGTATCCCCAAGTTTTGAAACCAAGATAAATGGATCTTTTGGGTATTCTTTAGCTTAAATGCACAAGCCGTAGTTCCATGGTAAATATATCGAAGAGGAGATCAAAAAGAACATGAAGATAGTGAAATTTCCCCAAATTGAAGTCTCATAAACTGATTCTAAGATCCTTAAAATTCCTGTAGATTATTTACATGCCTTTAATTCCATTTCCTGTTCATTGTCATTGTTTCTTAGTTTACATGTATTCTTTATTTAATTTATCCTTAACCTGTTTCATGTCCTGCAGCCTTGTTGGTTCGCTGAACAAGATACCTCTTTCTATTGCCGGTATCCTTCTTTTTCATGTCCCCACGAGTTTGGAAAATTCTGCAAGCATATTCTTCGGTAAATTTCCTATCGTTTTGCATGCTTAATAGTATTGTTCTATAGTAAGAATCACAATCACTTGTCAACTTATTCTTCGGTAAATTTTGTACATTCATAGGATTGTTGGCTGGCGTGTTTTTTGCAAGAGCAAAAATCCGAGATAGAACTTGATCTTGAAGAAGCTTAGATTTACACTTTTGGTGATTGCCTCTCTGATATATAGGATGAACATTTTGTATACTACTTTTCTGAGAAGAAAAATCATTTTATTTCCTTCATCTTCTATGATGTTATATACAAATGGGAGATGGTTACTGACTTGCTGTTTTCCCCTTAGCTGTTGCAGAAACTGTAAGAGATTGAAATACAAAATCATTGATAGTCATAGCACAAATCAAGCTGAGGTCTAATGTTCTCATGATTGTTTTGTAATAAAAAAGGATATATCGATACATAAGTTTTTGTTAGTAAATGAGATGATATCATTTCGACTTTGATGTCATTATGGTATACTTGTTTCATTTGCTAACTAGAAATATTTCGAGGTGTCAAAAATTTAGTAAGAATAGCAAGATGAGAACAATCTCTCTCTTCTGAGTTTCCTTGTTCCTCATTATCCACCCCTCTTGGAGGGCATTTTGAAGGCGGTGTTAGCATAGAGGTGAGGTGGAAGAAAAATGTTTATTTTGTTTTATTATTTATTCTTGATGGAAATAAATAAAGTATGTTTGGAAGAGTAGTTTATAATCGGTTTATATTATAAAATTGTAGAAATGAGTTGTGTGCATAAGTATCGATATCACGAAATATATGAATGAAAAATAGTTTGATCGATTATAAATAAATAAAAATTGTCAAAAAAGGTCTTATCATTTTCCAATTTTTTAATAGATAAAATGAGTGAAATATGTTAGTCGATGTAAAGGAAGGTTCCACCCCACCCCACTCGACCCTACCGGCCTACCCTACCACTTCATGTTTTGGCCATGGAACCACAAGTTAGATACGTATCATAACAGATTTCTAACCCCAATCGTGACAATGGACCCATATGGGTGGACGCAGCCAAATCTATATCGTCCTCAGATTTATCAACCATAATGGGACTATGGTTTTTTTATTTGATCCTTGATTTGTACCTGTCCACTACATCCACAATCTCCATTGCTAATTTGCTACCAAGTTTTAATTTTTTTAGTAAAAACTAAATTATGTTTTTTTGTTTTATTTTCTTGTACATTTTATTCTCGAACTTTATTTTTTGATGTTAGTGACTATGGCGTTTCCATGTATTAGCACTAGGGAATCATCATTGTTGACTTCGATGTTTAAAGTGTTGGAGATAACATTGTCAAAAAATAGAAATGAAGATCGAAGTGGAGAAGAAATACAAATTAGAATAATGACCACAGTTCTACTTGTTTAAAATTTATTTTCATTTTTTTGAAGAACTATAAATTTTATTAGTAAAAATTTGTAACATTGTAGTAACAAGCTCAATCAAAGAGTTCTGTAGACTCAAAAAAATGTTGCCAACAAATATCGGACTCACCCGCGTACAATTGAGCGAAGGTCCTACACGCTTAAGACACGTGGACGGTCTAGGACGAACGGATCAGGGGTGCGGGAGTAGCTCAACGATGCGAGACGAGAACGTTCGAAATCCGGTGAGATGTTTGTAATCCGATTGTACAATAATTACCAATCGGTACTTATGAATGTGCATGTAAATATGTATGAACTCGTATCGTGTTGTAAGACAATATGAAAGAGAGAGTAAAGTGTGGCTTCTTGTATTGATTCTTGCATTCGTTCTTCAATGTTACACAAGGGAAGTATTTATAGTGGTATATGTGAAATGGCAGCCCTTGGATGAGATGGCACGTGACCTCATCTCTTTAATCCAAACATCCAATCCTAGGCACCATCCTTGACTTGCTAGCTTGCTGCGCATTTATTGTTTATGTAGAACCCCCATGCCAATGACAAGACTTGACATGTACACTTATAACAAACGTTCCATCAATCATTCTAACAAGATCTTTATGTAGAAGATCTCTTGGGAGAAGTGATCATGGAAGACGTTCCTTCATGGTTCGGAGGCTTCTGCCACTTAGTATTACCGCTTTAGGGCTTCGGCTATCTTCACAGGCCTCGGCATGAAGGGTCTTGGCCATACATGCCACCTCGACTAGAGCGCCACGTGATTCGGATTGAGTGGATCATAGACCTAAGTAGGTTGATCAAGTATGACAACATGTAACAAGTTCTATTTCGGCAAATTATTTAGCGTGAGACGTAGTCAAAGTTTAATGGACTAAAGGCTGGAAAAAATTATTTTATTTTTGTAATTAAAGGCAAAGAATCATTCGTCGCTCAATCCTTTGAATTGTGATACACTTTTTCTATTGTTGGTGTTACATCATTGTTCATTGACTATATCCATGGTTTAATCCTTTGAATTTTGAACAACTTTTTCTTTTCTGTAAAATATTTATGAATTTTTCGTAGAAGGGTATTTTTATTTATTTATTTATTTTTTTACTTTGAAATAGTCAATTAATTCTTCTTTCTTAATTTTTTATTTTTATTTTTTATTTTTTATTTTTTTATGATAGTCGAAGTAAGTGACCATATAGAGTAAATAATTTCAATCAGACATGGATTTGCAATACTATTAAATACATTAAGATCATTTCCCATACAATTGGCACGCACAATATGGTAAAGACTACAAGAATCTTGACTTTCTCCTATTACTACCAAATCCACTATTTTATTTTTTATTTTTATACAATGACCAATTCCGACAACATTAGCCACTAAAATGTTAGGAAATAATAAAAGAAAATTAAATTAAGACCATTTCCTCCATGAATTTAATAAAGAAAATCAAATATTGGCTTTTTATGAATTAATTAATGAAATTAAATGGATCTTGAAAGAATACATATTATTAATAATTTATATAAATAAATAAAAAGAAAAAACCAACCTAATTAAGAAGGAATTGGCCAACCTCCAACTGAAAACTACCTACTACCATTCTTCTCTCTAAATATATATCTTTCTCTCTTTGTCTCTCTATATATGTATGTATATATTTGTTGGCGATTGAAATAATGCCTATACTATACAAGAAATTGCTACAGGACAACTTTAAATAGAAGCAATCTCAGACACACAATTATACATAGCAATAACCAAGATTTTGTGGTAGACGAACTATTCACATTCTCAACTACCCATCACTCGCCTTCTGTTTCATTGCGTGTTTTGTAGAAAACCCAAAAACTTGGAAACCCTAGAAAAGAGGAAAGGGGAATTTGCAAGATTTTTTTATTCGAAGGGAAGCTTTTCTTGATCTAGGTTTGTTTTGTTCTTTACCTTTTCTGGGTTCTGTTAATTTTTTTCTGGTAGTTCATTTTTTGTTCTTGTTGAGTAGAAGGATGAAGATATAAGTGCAAGATTTTGATAAAGTTTATGTGCGAATATTTAGAGTTTATTTTTCCTCTTTCATTATTATTATTATTATTATTTTAGAATTTTGTGGGAAATGCAAAAGGTAAAAACAAAAAATTGTTTTATTTATGGGGTGGGAAATTGAGGTTTCATTTGGTTGTTGATCTTTGTACTTTAAGATTTGGGGAGGAAGAAAAGAAATTTAAAAACAAAATGAAGCACTTAAGTAAAAGATTTGGGGTGTAGGAACTTATTGAATTTTTAAGATATTTTCTGCATTAATGTATGAATAATTATTAACTCATTGCACATCAATAAACTGATCGCTATTGAGTTTTATGCTTGATAGTGGCCTTTGGAACATTTGTGATAAAGGGACTTCTTATGTTCAAGTAATGCTAAGTGTTGTGTGTTTAACTAATTTAGTCTACGAAGGTCTCTATTCAGTTGATGCTCATTGAGGTAGTAGAGTTTGTGGTCGGAATTATACAAGATATATTTTGATGGTAGTGCTGAGGTTGTGTTGTTTGATGGAAGAAATGTTTGTGCATTTGCTCAAGCGCTGTTGTCATTTACATTGCAACTCAGTTGGAAACAATTTTGGGTGTCTGATTAAAGAAAATACAATGCTCGAATCGTTTAATCTATGTCTCAATGTGCTGTGTGTTTATCTTTCTAGAATTCTAAATTAGCTTAAAGGGTGATAAATTGGTTTGTAGGTATCATGTTTTGTTTCATTTCTGCCATTGATGATAGTTTTCTAGACTAAAATTTGCTTGGATTATTCAGAATCCATCAAGTCTTAGATATTTATTTTCTAAAAACAAAAATCAGGCATTTGGTTCTAGCAGTCATCTTGAATAATCTGAGATTGATGCTATCTATAAAGGTTCAATGGAAGTGCTGAAGGAAGACTACTTACTTCTTCTTCTTCTTCTTCTTCTTCTTTTTTCCTGGGGTTCCAGCTTAAGTTGCATTTATTTCCACAATGTCAAGCTTAGAGCAGCCTCTTGGTCTGGACAAGTTGCCAAGCTTGAGCAACATCGACTGGCTCAATAGGTGCTCATCTAGTGCATGCAGACCCATAGAAGAGGATACGGTAATGGGAAGTTGCTGGATCGAAGGGAGAAGTTGCAGTTCATCTAACAGCTGCGAGTAAGTGTGATTTATGCAAGAGTAACTATGAATATGTGAATCATGTTAGAATTTGCGAGTAAGGCCAATATATGTTAGACAGATCACGCTGATTTATATTCATCAAAAGACAATGTATAAATCATATATATGGTCAAACTTTATTTTCAACCACACGTTCCAATGGACCCACAAGTAATATTCACTTATCTAATACTAATTTTTATCTATTTATACATCAAACTATAGATAAATTCTTCCTAAACAGAGGCTAACATGCAAGAGTTAGTATACTGTTGTGTTTTATTTTCATTAATTCTCTTTAACTAGATCGCTACAAATATTTTCAAATTTCACTCCTGCGTATTGGTGGATGACTTGAGTATAGGACTACTTTTTTCTCTGAGTATAAATCTGTCAATTCTATTATTGATCTTTTTTCTGGCAAGGATTACATGGCAGTCGAAAAAACAAGATTTCTAGCCTTTTCTAACACTCACGTAAACCTTCCTAGAAAACTCCTGATTTCTTCCTAAAAAAATTCTAACAATTGATAAAATCATATGAGTTTAGAGTATAATCCCTCGATTCAGACATTTAAATTCTTGGATAGTCACCACGAATCCTGCTCACCTCATTTTTGATCCCTTTGCCAGTGAATATTATAAATCTTAACCTTATTACATTACTTTCTTATCTCATGATTTTCTATTAGTTTTGCTGCAATTTGTAGTGGACTTCAGCCTTATCTAATCAAGTATACAGCTTCAAATTAATTTGCAGGTTTAAATCAAAGTCATTTATAAACACATGAAAAAACTATGCAATTTTAACCTTATGATATTCATCTTTTACGTATTAATGATGAGGAGTATTTAAGCCATTATACGTTCATTTGATGGGTTTGGGGTTCTGGATTACGCTACCAATTGGAAGTTGTGTTCATTTTCAGTGAAGATTCTGAAGAGTACAGACAAGAGACTTTACCATGGAAAAGACAAATGAGGGGCACATCAAAGAGGACTTCAAATGCAGGCAGGAATTCTGTGGCCTGTGGAATTGTGAATGATTTGCGCTACTTGTCCAATCATCAAGGACACTCCTATAGCAATGACAAAGACATAGGAGCGACGAAATATAAGGTAATTCTTCAGAATTAACTCAAAAACCTGACAGCTTCATTGTCATTTTTTTTAACTACGATTTTCAATTGACAACTTGTTATATTTAGTGGTTTTTCGAAGATATACCAAGATATGTGAAGGTAGTGGAAGTTGGTCCAAGAGATGGGTTGCAAAATGAGAAGATCATTGTCCCAACATCTGTGAAGGTCGAATTAATCCGTAAACTTATTTCTTCTGGATTGCCTGTGGTTGAAGCTACAAGCTTTGTGTCACCAAAATGGGTCCCTCAGGTAATTAACACAGTTTGTTTTGTGGTGTTTAATTGTCACTTACTCGCAAGATCTGAATGTGATTTTGGCACTTGTGTTTTCCCTTTCTGATTCCTTTCTATCTCATTCAAATAGCTGGCAGATGCAAGTGATGTGATAGAAGCAGTTAAGAATTTCGAAGGAGTCAACTTGCCCGTGCTGACACCCAATCTAAAGGTGGATAACCTTAGGAAAAATAAGAAATATTTTAGCATCCTTAGTTCTGTAGTCGGAGATTTCTAATTTCTGGTTAAATTAATGTTAGGGGTTCAAAGCAGCCGTTGCAGCTGGTGCAAAAGAAGTAGCTGTCTTTGCATCAGCTTCGGAGTCCTTCTCAAAATCAAACATCAACTGCAGTATCGAAGAGAGTCTTTCTCGTTATCGTGCTGTTACCTCTTCTGCCAAAGAGCTTTCAATTCCTGTGCGTGGGTATGGTTCATACTCTCCCTCCCCGTTCCCAAACCCAACTTGCCACATCTCACCACAATATCACAGTGACTGTTTTGGCTCGATTGTCCTTGGAAAAATTTACTTTCTTTTTACACTATTCTATGGTAAATACTTCCTATACAGCAACTGTATGCTTTATAATTCTACCAAGGATTAAGTTGAAGACATCTATATAAAACTCAACAGGTACGTCTCGTGCATTGTTGGTTGTCCAGTTGAAGGATCAATCTCCCCTTCAAAAGTTGCATATGTGGCAAAGGAACTTCATGACATGGGTTGCTTTGAAATCTCACTTGGAGATACAATAGGAGTTGCTACACCTGGTAACGGCTTAAATAACACATTTCACATTCCCCTGGATTCAGTCATCAAATTTGAAATGCTATTTTTCGTTTCTGCTATATCCTCCCATGATTGACAATTCACTGTCAAAGAAAATCATCAATTTTGTTAAAAAAAATTCGACGTACACACATTCACATCCCACATCCTCTGCATTTTTCATTCATGTAGGTAATGTGCTTCCTATGCTTGAAGCTGTGATGGCTGTTGTTCCTGTTGAGAAGCTTGCTGTTCATTTCCATGACACATATGGCCAGGCTCTTTCAAATATCTTAGTATCACTTCAAGTGAGTAACTTCTCTCTGTAACACACAAAAATAGTAAATAAAAACCCCGACTTTAAATTTGTTCGTTTATGATGAATAAGGATGAAGTTGATTTGCCCTGTTCACCTAACTGCTAATATGACGAACCATTTTCCTGTTCTAAGCTCCTAGTTACTAGGATTCCGTCTTAAAAATATCAACGTTGTCAAGAGAAATAGTCCAATCTCTTACATATTGGTTTATATTTTTACTTTTATTCAATGTGGATTTATCCCTTTAAACACATTTTACAAGATGGTGGCACATTTGAGAACACCAATCTTGAAGTATACGTGCTCGTTTGAGTCTTACACTCTTTCATCAATAGATGGGGATTAGCACAGTGGATTCCTCAATTGCTGGTCTTGGAGGTTGCCCGTATGCCAAGGGAGCTTCAGGGAATGTTGCAACTGAGGATGTCGTCTACATGCTTAATGGTCTTGGCGTGAAAACCAATGTCGACCTCAACAAACTCTTGCTGGCCGGAGAGTATATCAGCAAACAGTTGGGTCGAACATCAGGTTCCAAGACAGCCATTGCATTGTGCCGCATGACTCCAGATGCTTCTAAGATTTGAAAAAAAAATTACGGTATTGAGACATTTTTATAAGCTCTTATGCCCGTTAAGAGCATGAATCTAGGAATAATCAAAGCTAAGAACTATAGCTAATAGGTGATTTCTTGCTTCGAGTATCAATCTGCTTACCACGGCAGAATTAATGTATACCATTCTTAAATTTTATTATCATATCATATACATATAAAAGAGGCACGACCGCATTATACTGTATGCACACCATATTGGCATTTTTACTAGACGTCGTGTTGAGTATGATTAAATCGCACTAAATCAATATGTCGGTAATCTTAAATTTAGTATATCTCCAGAAAGTTACATGCACAAGTTCCTTAATGTATTGAATCTAGTTAATTTAACTTCTTTTTGATGATGCATGTAGTTAGAAATTACAACAATGAAGCGTGCTAGGTTAAACTTAGTATTCGTGCAAGCTCGATTTGGGTGGTCGATAAAACGGAGTTAATTAAATAAATAGTACGAGCAATTTACTACATAATAAGTCATATATGAACTTACTAATTTGTATAACAATCATACATGAATTAACTTTTGTGAGTTAAACTAACAGAACAATTCACGTAGAAAACAAAGTGCCTAGGTGATGATATTATGGAAGATACTCGACAAGTTAATTATGCAAATGGTACATAAACCTTACTCTCGTATCAAAACCGTCCATGAACATTACTCACGTATAAAGATATGAATTATGTAAAGTGTACACCCCATGGTGTAAAATTTGACATGATGTAGGAATTCAAAAAGTGTTGGGCAAGAAAGTGTCCTTTTTTTGAAACTGTACAATCATGTGCCGACACGTGGCACAATGTAAAACAAGATGTACACATAGTATGATTGTAAAAATATGCACGAACTCAACTTTATATCAAGATCATACATGGACTCAAATATCTCGTCATTGTATGAATTAACTTTTGTTTGTCAAAATTAACAACAAATATGACGTGGCAAATAGAATGTCTACTTCCATTTGTAAACTATTATCCTCATCGTACTATAAATTTATCGTAATACTTAAATTTTTCAAGAAGATTAAATAAGGTAGTCCATTTACAAAAAAACTCGTCTTCGAAAAATATGTATAGTGTGAATTAGTAATTTATTATCCTCATCGTACTTTAATTTTTTTAGTAATGCGCAGATCTTTCAAAGACGTATACTAAGCCTCTTCACTTACCAATACTCACGTTTGCAAATTCTGATGCTAACATTGATGTTTAATCCAATCCAAAATGGACTGGTATGCATTTTTCCTGCTGCTTCGAACTTAGATTTGCATTTTCCTCATTAACATAGCAGCATAGCATCCGTTCTGAGAGGGGTCGATTTCGAAAAGTTTCATGTACTGGACTCGACCTATACTTGCAATTTGGGAACAAAGTGGTATGAAATGTGGTTAAATGGAATAGATAAATGTTCCATCAATCTCTCCGAAGCTTGATTATTGTTTAAAATCAAACGTTTTTTTTTTTTTTTTTTAAATCCCTAAAAATGTAATTTAATGATGTAGTTTATTAGCCCCGTTTGAGCCCCATTAATTTTCATTAGATTACATTTCATTTTTCTCTCCTCTATTTTCAACCACACAATCTTCCATAAAATAATATTACACGTAACTCAAAAATTTTTCCTTCTTTTTCAACCACTCATTTTTCAAACAAATATTATTCCACTCATTAATGTTTTCACGTAATGGGGGCCAAACAAGGGTGTAATGCGATGTTTCTGTCAAGTCATTGCCAAGTAAGCAGTCCTTTCGCCACGTGGACTATTACAGATCAGATATAGATTTGTGATTCTCTTTATGATTTCGATACAATAATGTTGAGGTATTTATAATTTGTATACATTCAGGGGCGGACCTAGGGGGGGTTTTATAGGGGCAATTGACCCCCTAGATTTTGGGGAAAAAAAATCTTTTGCTTAGCTTTTTTTTTTTTTTTTTTCCTTT